AGGCAATTGCCTTCTTCCTTGTGCTGGGAGAGAAGCGGACTTAGAAGCATCTCAATGATACTGCAGCAAAAGGCTGCAAGTCAAGCTGGATAAGACTCAGGACAGCAGGAATTCCCCCCTACAAAGCCCATAATCACCTATGGATGAGAAATGAAGTGGGTGGATGTGTGAAGCAGCAGGAAAACAAGGAGAAGAAACACGGCAGCCTGTGGGATGCAGCTCCCATCAGCTCACAAGCACACAAGGCAGCTCCACAGTCAGATCCCTTCAGATCAATCACACAAATCCTCATGCTGAGCTGCTTGAGTTGCCAGCGTTGGGGAAAATAACCAAGTTCAGTAAATGAGCTCCCTGGATAAATGGTGCAGAACTGTATGCACCTTCCAGCAACAGCCAGGAAAATGGCGTGCAATGCTACCCCAAATGCTACACAGCTCTAACACCCCAATTTTTGAGCCTCTTCTAAACGATCTGTTTTCACACCCAAAGGACTTAGCAGTCCTCTCCCCTCTTCTAAATCTGGTTCAAGTCTCACTGCACCTGGCAAGCGCTGCCGAGTGGTGAAAAGCTGCTAGCAGGGATGATACCCTCACCTTCTAGTTTAAACGAGTTGCTGTCTTTGGCAATGGTCCCGCAGGATTTCAGCCTTCCATTGGCCAAGGAACACTCCTCCAGTGTCTCTTCTTCACTGTCCCCAGGGTAAGAATCACAAAGCCCAGCGTTACCCTGGAGAACCACTTGCATGCAGTGCATCCCCTATACTGGGAATTTGCTTTACCTCCTGGCTATAGACGAGCCTGAAAACTCCACACCACCTCAAAAACAGCTTCCAACTTCCTCAAGAGCCTTAACCCAGCCTCCAGCACCTCCGCACCAAGGGCAGCAAGCTACCGAGCAGTCATTCAGGCAAAAGATACCCAGTGAGTTTGGTGTTTGGGGTTTTGGGAAGGGCTGCCACAGACAAGCAGAAGCACAGACTTCATGCTGATCAGGTGAAAGCTTCTTTGCAAGAGGAACACAGTTCCTCACCACTGGGCCATGCCCCTTCCACAGCCAATAAGAACTTCATCTAACAAATACCCCAAAGATGAGAACTGGTCCCAGCTTACATCCCCAAAAGGTTGCCATTAAGGTGCTTTAGTGGGTTCCTCAGCAGTGTGCACAAGGCACTGTACCCAGCTACATAACCACAGGTATACAATGGGCAAAAGCAGAATACTTTAAAGGACAAAGGTAGAGGAGCACTGGAAACCTGCTCCACCAAAGCTGACTGTTGACTTCAAGCTAATGGAAAACAATGAATGTGATGTTAAGGGATGCTGCCCAGCTGAAAGAGCAGCTGCTTGCCAGGAACATCCACAGGGAGCTCTATGTGGGATCTCAAAGTGACAGCAAGGTCCCTGGACATTGGTACAACCACTGAAGTTGATGCTGTCCTCTTTTCTGCTTCTGCTCTGCCTTCTGCTCTGGGCTTCTCATTCACTGTCTACAGAGGAGGCTCTGATTGCCTTTATTGCCACAGCACTGCTGGGCTGGAAGGGAAATGCTGTTACAGAAAAGGACTTGCAGCACTGAGCAATGTTCAATAACTCACTCAAGGTCCCAGGAAGTGACTGAACCCAGGACATGTGAGTCACCACATACTTATTTATCAGAGACCTCCCTCCTCATGGGTCACCTTTTCAGAAACTCTCCCACTTTGCGTACAAGCACACAGCTAAGAGATTACACTGAATTACACCGAGACAGATTTATCAATGAGCTTCCCTTTCAGCTCCAAGTGTTGCTTTGGAAATAAAACCTAAATTGCTGTATGCTGAAGCAGACAACTCAGCACTGCAGATAGCCCCACCAGCAGCATTTGCCAGACCTCAGATCCAGCTGAAGTGTGAGTTTGGCTCACATTTAATCACTTTGTTTTGAAGGTGACCTCCAGCAAGTCAGAACATACCTATGGTGAGAGTTGTGTTTGCAACTTTGTTCAGAAGTGCTGGTGTACATATCCAGATGAAGTAGAGTATCACACCTCTAGAGCTGCTCTGAACGCCAAAAAGCCCTTTCTCTCTGCATGATGCCTCACCCTTGAACCTGGCCTGGACAACGCTCTGATATATGGTCTGATTTTTGGGTGGTCCTGTGTGGAGGCAGGAGTTGGACTTGATACTTACGAGTTCCTTCCAACTTGAGATATTTCATGGTGCCTCAGCCCCAAGGCTCTAAGCACGTGCTCATCCATTCACAGACACCAGAAGGCAGAAAACCTTCCACAGCCTCCAGGCATCCTGGCTGAGCAGAGTGGCTGTAACAAAATTGCACATTCCCAAGGAAGCAGGGCTGGGGACAGCACAGGGCAGGCAGCCACACTGCCCTCAGCCCAAACCCCACTCAGCTCCAGCACAGAAACAGCAGCAGGTGCAAAACCTTCCAGCAAGGAGACGTGTTCCCAATCCAACAGTCAAACCAAGCTGTGGATATCTACAGCACTCAGATTTTTTCATTTTCAGCTGATGACAACAGTAGAAGTATGAGGCAATAGGTCTGGAAAAGGCCACACAGGATGGGATTTGGTTTTCATGCAATACAACGCAGCGTGGGTCTAGCCAACAACTTTATGCACTAAGCATCTAGTGGCCTCAGCCTCCGCATACAAGCAATTGAACTTGTCAGAGTGATGTCTTATATACCCTGAGCAGACAGGTCAGTAAGAAAGAGCGTGGCTCTTCTGGGTGGAGTAGGAAGGGAGGGATGTGAACACATCAGGAAAGCACTGGGCTGCTAGCTAGGAAAACTTCACAGCTACACATCCTGAATGGGCCGATACGAAAATGAAAGCACAGCTCAGTTCCCAAACCAGGTTCACAGCCGCACGGCCCTGTCTGGCAATCCATGAGCTGTATTCAGCATCTGTCCCTGCCCCTACCTGCAGCTGCCTGACCCGAGTCAACGCAGTGGAGCTTCCCAGGAGGAAGGGAGCCCTGAACAGCCTTCATGACAGCTCAGCACAGCGTCTGCCACACAATGCAAGTGCTTCAAGTGGAAAACTCCAAAGGTTTCACCTCCGAATGCACTGAATGAACATTTTTTCCTTCAAAGTTGTCTATTTGCATCAGCATCAAGAAAGGCACTGTACAAATGCACTGCTAGGAATAGGGTGTTGTAAACAAAGTTTTACAAAAAAGGAAGGTTAGCACACAACATATTTTTCTCATTACTTCAGTAGATCCTGCAAGCTCTACAAGCCTGGTAGAGAAAGAGTCTATTTAAAAATCTAGGGTGGGGAAGAATTAGCTCACCAAAACCATAAACAGATTTGCTTTGCAATTTTAGTCCAAGAGAAAAACAAGACGAGGTATGTGCATATCGATGAACACAATAGCACAATCATTTTAAAAACAAATGAACCGGGAGGGAGAGGACATCAGAGGAGGGTGGGGGGAAAGGAATTGTTGAGGAAAAGGGGCCAAGTCTTAAAAGCAGAGATCTTGAAAGTTTGGCTCTCAAAGCTCCTCCAGAAGATACTGGACACCTCGCATGTGCCAGAGCAGGGCTGGGAGCACGCAGAGAGGATGACACAAGCTGCTCTAACACCATGATTTGTCTGTGTGCAAAGCCTCAAATTATTTTCTGCAAATGTAACACAGAGGAATCCTTTCCATTCACCCAGTGACCTTCCACACAAATAATCCAAATGCACTATTACTATCTTTCAGTGGCAAATACTGAGGATCTAAAACTTGATCCTTTTCTCCCTATTCCCTCTCTGAAGAGGCCTTGACTCTGTTTACCAAGCTGGGCTGGCAGGGTCCAAAGCTTCCCCCCCCCTCTTCATCTCACCAAATTCTCTATCCCCAACGGAAAGGCAATGCCAAGATGTGAGAGAGCACCAACATTCACTGCACTGGCAAGGTGACTGACAGATGGTATTTGAGGACCCATCTAGTATGTGATTAATCAACAACGAAGGCAACTTCAAGGGAGGACATTTCTGAGGAGACCCCAGCACACCCTGTGCAACAGCAGACTCCATCAGCCTATTTCCATGAGCCAAGCAGTCTGAACTTAGCCTGCAGAACTGGAAATGTGACGGGAAAGCAACAGTTATGGTGGCAGTGTCAGTCCTGTTCTGCTCCTCACAGGGTCAAGGACAGCTGAAGCCCAGCAGCAAGCAGACTCCAGGTATGGCACAACTGGGGTAGAGGTCATTTTGGGGTTGGAAAATCTCCCCTTCTATTGGGATGCTGTCATACAACCAAAAACCAAGGGAATGAATTCCCCACCAGCTACTGTCTGCTCACCAAGGCTTAGCCACAGAACTTTGTTTCTTGCATAGGAGATGGTTTTGCTCTGGTATGAGATGCAATTTTTTCTTCAAAGCTGTTCAGAGGCATAATGGAAAAAGGGAGGGCTATTTCCAAGAGTACAGAATCCACCCACAGAAGCCAAGAGGGAAATGCATCACTTTCCTCGCCCCCTCACCCGCAGTACAGGGCAAACACACACTTACTAAGTGACATGTATTCTTTAGATTGAGGGGAAAAAACCTATCAGTGGTCCAGCACAAACACATGTGAGCACCAGCCAGGAGATAAGTACAACTGCACAGGACTTTTAAACTCCATCCTGTCCAAGGCACAACATACAGATGGAAGAAAAACCAGTCCCTTCCTCAGAATGCTGGAGCACAACCCAAGGGGCTACACCAAGCACAGAGCAGGGCATGGCTCAAAGGCTAACAGAGCAAACCATCACAAGATACCTTATTTCAGCCATCGGACTAGAAAGCCACTCACAAGACCTATGAGAACACCACTCTGCAGCCTTAAAGAAAGAATTTCTCTTCATTCCTCTCCCATCTTTCCCCTTTCCCAGTGCCTCACAATTACTGTTCATGGTCAGCCACCGAAATCAGTAATTATCCCACAGTTATAACACAAACAGTCCCAGCTGGGTTAGGCAGAACTGTGCACTGAGCACATTCTGGCAGCACAGCTGTGTCCTACCTGCAGAACGGAGCACGTCCTTAACCCTTCATTTTCCAGTTGTTCTTCTTTGCTTGTACGCATCTTTAAAGTGCCAGTAGTCGACTCAGAGCTGGAAGAAAGCACATTGGACCAAAAGTTACCACTACAGCTGGAGAGAAGAAGGTGACCCTTGGTTAGTAAACACCAAAAGTACAAACGTAACTCCAATCAGCTTCACCCCTGCCCTTAGCCATGTCACCCACCCCACCTGGCACAGCAAATCTTCACTGAAGAATCCCAAAAGGTGCTTTTTCCTCTGAGTCAGTAAAGCTGTTGCTCACCAACAGGTAGCCAAGCCCTCTAACCACACTGCCCAGTACTCAGCTGGGTCATATTTAGAGAAGCAATTCCAACCTGAGCAGCACTGCCGCAGCAGGCATCTATATATAACCCACAGCTTCACTTTTAGCTATGCGCTTCCTCTCTGCCCTCCATTTCCCTCAGCTGCTGCCCAGTCCCCATTCCCTCATTCCTCAACAAGCAGCAAAGCCAGCCCGATGCATTTCATAATTTCTACACTTAACTGTATAAAGGGATGAACAGCCAAGAGGATTTCTGGGTCTGACTTCAGACGGAGGGAGAAAGCAGCATATTTAAAAACAAAAGTCACCCTGGAAAAAGGCCTTGCAGCAAGGATGGAAAACAGGAAAGCTACGCTGTGATTCCAAAGTAAAGGAAAATGTTTACGTGTTGACTCTCCTGCTGCAGCATGGCCAGCGACCACAGTGAAAACTGAAAGCCAATGAGGTTTCAACATGCTTGGAAAGATCCCAGTGCTGAACGAAGGGACCTTGACAGAACAGGTGACAACCTCTCAGATGCCAGCAAAGGTTGAACATACAAAAGACAACAAATATTAGATTGCTGAGGGAGCATTTTTTATTCCAGCGATGTGTGTAATTTTCCTGCAACAACTTGCAAAACGTTGCAGCCTCCCAAATGATGTGATAGCAGAACAGCCACAGCTGCTTATCTGCCACTGCTGCTCCGACAGCAGCACAGGGAGCACAGCCAGCTGCCGACTGTGCCACAGGTTCCTGCTGCTCCCACTGCACAGACTCACCTGGCTATGGAGGTTTAATAGCATCTGCCTGCTCCTTTAGGGATGAAACGTACATCTGAGGCTTAACAAACAAGATTTCTTGGTCCTTGGGGTACCTGAGTTAAGAAGAGTGACCTTGCTTGTAACGGTTTGAGCGCCTTTCGATTCTGCAATTAAAGGTGTTCTAAATAGAAACCCGGGCTGGAGGCAGAGCAAAATGCAGGTTCCTAAAACCTACTTCTGGAAACAGAGCAAAAGAACTGCACATTTGGCAGCATGAGCTGCTATACTACCCTCTGCAGCTCCTGCCTGAATTGCCTGAGGCTGAATTGCCAGTAAGACAATGTGTGGGAGAGGTGGGGGTAAGGAACATGAGCTGGGGGCTCCTTTGAGCAGTGCATGCCAATAGCTCGGCTGCCTGTCATGGAAACCATGGGCAGCCAAAGGCAACCAAGGAATGCTTTTTTCCCCCCTAACTTCTTTCATATACAAAAATCCCGGGCACTCTGATAGCTATGACAACACTCAGAGGGTTGTTCAGGTCCCTCTGCATTAGGGATTTCAACTCTGTGCCAGAACTATTCATTACAGAACTTAACCTCCCTCCCAAGCATTACAGCTTCCTTGGGACTGAATAAACGGCTCAAAAGCTGCAATTCAAGAATGAAGACAAATATATTCCTAAAATGTAAGTCCTGGCACAGAGAATCAGTCACTCTAACATACCTGTGATTTACAATCTGCAGTGCCTGAGCCACGTAGGACAGAAGGTTTGTAAAAAGAGAGGGAGAACAGCAGGTCCCACAACAGCATTACCCAAACCCCAGGCAGGATCCACTGCTGTGTTTGTGCACACATGGGGTCTCGGTGCTGAGAGCTCAAAGCCCCAAGAGCAGAGATTGCTCTGGTTTGCTCTCACTTGGCAATCTCGCCTCTGAGTTTTTAACAGCCCTCCTCTTGCTCTGGGTTCTTTTTGATGTTACTGGAAACTGCACAGTGCTGTTTTTCCTTCCAGACCAGCAGAAGTGACTCGCAGCCCAGTTGGGTGCCAAGGGCAGTGAAGGAGGCAGCCTGAACCCAGCTCCCATCAGCCTGCCCTGCAGGAGGACAAGCCATTGAAGTACAAAACCATCCTCAAATGACAGAAATGAGTCCACTCTGGTCCCCAGAGCAGCACCACCTCCCACTTGCAGGCTCTCCTTCCTTCTATTTCCAGGCAGGGAAGCAGCTCAGACACACACATATGTTGCACAGTTGCTGCTTTGACGGAGCCCAGCCACGTCCCTGTGGCAGCACAGGACCTTCTGTCCTACAACAGAGTTCCCATGCCGCGCTGCTGCGAGTCCTGGAACCCACAGCAAAACTGAAGAGCTCACCCACATGGCGAGACCCAAAATGATGTCCTGCTACTCACATTTGCAGCCCAGAAAAACTCCTTCCTGGAACTGCACACCTTGCTCACCCATCAACAACACAGATCCCTTGGCAGTTCATCCCTATAAAATGGTTATTTCCTCCAGACAAAGACAAGTTGGCATTCTGAAGACTCCTGAAAACTGAAGCCATAGAACATAACCTGTCACCTCTTGCTTCTTTTAGACTGAAAATAAGTTTAGGGCTGTGCACAGCAGAAGGACCCCAGGAAAGCACCTGGACAACACCTGCATGTGGGAGAATAAACTGCACCTCCAGCATCATTGACCAATATTTCTAATGCATTTTTATCTTCCAAGCTTCCCAAACCACCAAATCCAGTGTTTAACGGTCATTGCTTTCAGGGAAAACGTTGACAATGCTTTAATCTCAAGTCTTTTCTCACAAATCAGACCCTGACCTGTTTTCTTATCCACTGTGACCATGGAAGAGAGAGACCACATTCCCCGCCATGCACTTCTAGCTACCTACAGACTCCCTCTCTCCCTCCCTCCTCTCTTAGCTGGAGCCCAGCAACCCAGGCTCTCTCAAACAAGCATTTCCAGACCTCCAGTCAACTCAATCACGATGCTCTGGCCTCCCTCCAGCTGACCTCTCCTCTCGTGCCAACAGCTGAGGATGAAGGAGCCTTCCCTCGGTGGTACCTCCATGCAGCCAGCTGCTCTGGCAGCTATTTTCAAAGGAGCTCCCAATCCCAGGACTTCACAAGCAGATGCAGCCCTGGCCCAACTCACCTCTACCCCAGTCATTTTTCCCATCTCAAAAGGAAGGAACTACGAAATTAAGCTAAAAATTCCTACTGCGGTGTTTTTAAAACTTTAAATCCTGCATGGATCAGGTTTTAAAAACTCAGCATCATGCAGGAAAGCTCAAACTGCAGTCAGCTTCTCCCCATAGCAAAAGGGACCAGGACAGCAGGATTCCTCTCCTCTCACATTCTTTTCCCAGCCCATACAGCTGCTCTTAGGCCTGCAGGCAAAACCTGGGGCTTCTCATCCTTTAGGCAACCAAGCTCCAAGCAAGGAAATAAAACGGGAGATTCCCACATGCCCTTACGCCAGGGACACCAAGCATCTAAATTTTACTTACGGCCATCAATTGTTTGAGAGCAGAAATTGCTTTTGTTGCAGGTTTTACATTCGGCACAATGGAGCGCCGATCAGCCGTGTGATTACTCAGCTCAGTGCTGCTCTCCCTTCTGCCAAACAACCTCAAGCTGGCAGCATCCCCAAGGGATGTGGGGCACAAACCCTGCTCCCACGTCCCTGAAGAGTTCTGCATGCTGAGCTGCATCCCAGATATTCTGGGATGAGGAACCTTGGATATCACTCTCTCCGCAGTTAGCAAGGGAAAGCCATGCCAACAGCTCTTGCGCTGTGCACAAAAATCTTTTTAAGATGATTTGTCATTTAAACTGTCAGCTTGAAATCTAATCATTTTTTTAAATGAATAAAATATTATACATTACATTCACGGGCTGCAAGCACTGCCAAATTCCTCTGTCATTTTCTTTTTTACAGGATTATAATCACATTCCTCTTTTAATGTTGTATTCCCTTGCCTCAGTGCCAGCGAGATGAGCGGCTACACAGCGAGCTGGGGACTTCAGAGCAGTGCAAAGCAATCCAAAACCAAGCTGAAAACAGAGCAGAACGCTGCTCCACCTCACTGCAGGGAGGTCCTTCAGGAATAGCACAGCTAGGTGCTGGTCATAAAGCAGCAGCCAAACCATTTCCAGATATCAGCATGATTTTTTTTTTAAAGCAGCGTTACCATTAAAGATCCTTAATTGTGTGGCAGTGGTTGGGGAGGACAAGCTTGAAGCTCCTGCCATCCAGAAGCGCACAGCTTGTGGACAGATGGAAAACAGCTCAACAGCCAACACAACAGAGGTCACCTGGCTCTGTCACTGCAGGGCACACAGCCGCTCCCAGCTCTCCTTCTCTTTATGCTCTCCTACTGCTCTGAGTGGAAGCGATGCACCGAGCCAGCTCAGGTTCCCAGAGCTGCAGGCAGCACTTGCTCTGCATGCCACAAGAGGTGTCCCATCCTGCTCCCTGCAGGGACAGGGCTGGCTCACACCTGGGGACACGATGGGGAGTTACACAAACCCAGCACTTTGGCATTTGTTGCTCAGAATCCAAATGTCTCTTTTCCCCTAAACACTTGGAGCTCAACTAGTGCTCACTAGCACAAAGAAGAGAGACAATTGTCAAGAAATGGAAGCAAAAATTCACCCAAATTAACAAGCAACTTTTACAACACTAACACAAGAAAAATGTTGGGCTTGGTGTTTTTTTTTTTTTCCTCTCCCTGCAAAGCACTTCTTTGCAGGACAGTGTTGCTTTACAAAAGCATTCTTCTGAAAGCACTCCTCCTGGAAGCTCCCTCTCCGACAGCTACTGTTACAAATGCGTGATAAAAGACTCATTCAGCAGTTCTGGCACGCAAACAGCACCAAATGGGCATTGCCAAGCCATGCAACTTTATCACAAGCTTCATAACATTTGCAGAATGAAAAGATGCTCTTGCTGAGAGCATGAGGCAGGGAAATGGTTCAGCTCCCAGGGTCGTGAGGATTTGGAGTTTTCCTG